AAAAATTAAATAAATATATGGTTTGAAAAAAATTTCCAGTTTTTTGGGGTACCCCCTTGTATAGTCAACAGTTTATTTGATGTCTCCACTTTGAAGTACCAGAATTTCTTACGTTTTCATACATTGTGGCACTTTGTGTGTTTTTTGAATTTTTCCCTCCTTCCATTCTTTCCCATTATCTTTTATTCATTACTCAAGACTTAACTTCTGTGTCTTCTTGGAAAGCTTTTTTTGACTGTCCTTCACCCTAGTTTATATTAGAATGCTTTTTTATTATTATCTGAATTTCTTTTTATTTTTCACCTTGAACAGTTTTATTGGCACCTATTTCACATACTGTACAATTCAGTAGTTAAATCATATTAATAAGAGCTGTACAATCAATTTTAGAACATTAACTTCCTTCTTGTACCTATCTTCACCAGCTCCCCATCACCCCCCAACTTTCCCCACCTCAAGACCATCAATGCAGTCACTGTCTCTATAGCTCTACCCATCCTGGATTTCATATACACAGAAACAGAAAACAGAAAAACAGAACAAAAATACTGCACTCTAAATGATAGCAAGGCTTTTCACACCCCTGCTCTGTGGTCAGAGGGAATTCACTGAGGACTGAATCCATGTGTGGATCCTGTGAATGGCCTTTGGACAGTGGACTCCCACTGTCATCTGTAGTCATCTGAAAATCAGGTGTTCACAAGTTAAGCTCTGATCCCATTCCCTCCTTCGGGTTTGGATTTTATATTAGAAGGCTTTTCTATGTGCATTCATATCCCTTTACTTTAAGATCTTTTGTGAGGTCTTGTAGCAATATGTTCACAGACTGTTCACAGAACTCCCCTACTTGATTGCTAGGATAGTCAGGAAATGGTTTCAACAAAGAGACTAGAAATAGCTGATGAATATTTAGAACATAAAAATAATGGCTGTTAAACATATTTGACATTTTTCATTAAAGATTTCATAACTTTTCTAAAATTTTTACCTTTTAAATGTGTATGATATGTAAATGATATGACAATAATAACAGTTGGAAAAAATGTGAACCTTACATTTGAAAAATATTTAAGAAGGTATATAAGAAGAAAAAGTATGTGTTTTGCTTTTTACTAAGTGTCACATCCTCATTGCTACTTTAACAATTAATTAAAAATAGTACTACAGGAAATTATAGCTCATAACACTAAAAATCTCACCATACTGGTAGTCATAGAAATTGGAACATGGTATTTAACAATTCTGGAATGTTACCTTGTTTTCTAAAAAATTTTCCATTCATATTAAAACATTTGTTTTCTATGGTATCTTTATGAAATTCATTTAACCTCAAAATGCCCCCCCCAAAAAAGTTTAGTTTTTATAATTAGATTTATTCCAAGCACAATATTTTGAATTTTGAAAGGGTATGCACATTTCTCTGATATTTGAAAGCATCTTCAAACGTAAATTTATTGAGTTTGTTCAGTTTATTGCTATCAAGTCAGTTCTGATTCCGACCAACCCCATTTACAATAGAGTAAAAACATCTGTTTTAGCCACCAATGTTGCATTGTTTGAGGCATTGTTGCACCAGCGTGTATTCAAAATTATTGCATACCTGAACTGATCATTAGTCTTAGACATTGCCAATACAACTTTTTCACAAAAAAATGATAAATTTCCCCCAATATTTCATAATATTATTGAGCGCATATATATATTCCAGGCATAGTACTTAACCTTTTACATCATCAATTTTTTTTATCTTCATAAAAGCCTGGGTGGGGGCCACATCCGACCTCCTCTAGTGACATAAGGGAAAGGAGAACCCAACTCCACACCAGCCCAAAGGCAAAGGTCAGGCAAACCTCTACCCTCCTGGTAATAACTGTCCCTCCCAAGGCACTCTGCTTTGCTTCGGGGTATTATAACTCACTGAAAAGGCCACACGAAACTCAGACAATACTCATAATTACAGGGGCTACTCAGGGAGCTGAACAGGTCACTACAAGTGAGGATCAGAAAGCATTAAGGATCCAGACTTGTCCACAACATTCTTTTCTCAGCCATGTCAGCAGCAACTTCTCTCTAAGCCAGTGGTTCTCAACTTGTGGGTCGTGACCCCTTTGGTGGTTGAACCGTAGCAAAATTACAGTTATGAAGTAGCAATGAAAATAATTTTATAGTTGGGGGGTCACCACAACATGAGGGACTGTATTAAAGGGTCGCAGTATTAGGAAGGTTGAGAACCACTGCTCTAAGCACTTCAACCCCTCAGCCACACTATTCCTTGGTCTTTACCCTGCTAGACCAAGTGTTATAACACTTTATAACAAGTGTTATAAAGCTCCATTAAGACTGGTAAGGAGCTTCAAAACACTTACAAGTCAGCCTTTTGCCTGAAGGCACTCAGCTTTTCACATTTTGTGGGCCCAGGAAGCCCACTTGTCTGTCTCGTGGTATCAGCAGGACTCCTCTGCTCTGTCACATGGTCACAGTGCTATTGCCCCTGCTGCTTCGGCCACTTCAGTGACCTTGCACACACCATTCCTCTGTTCCTGCTTCTGAGATGGCTCACTTTTCCATTCAGTGAAATGGCAAAACTGAGTTAGAATCCTCTATATCCTATTTGCATGTACCTACGTAGTCACTAGGTGGGAGTTACAAAGACTATGGATAGAAGAGCCAGAGTAAATAATTTTGCTTCACCATAGGTCAAGATTATTGTCACTCCTGTTCAGCAAATGAGGAAACTGAGGCTCAGAGAATGTTAAGTAGCTTACTCAAGTTCCACAGCTAAAAAAAGGGCATTGCCAAGCTAATATGAAATTAAAATATGACTCTTAACAACAATACTATATTAAATGCTACCACCATAAAAATTTTCATTCCTAATTTAATGCTCGCTCACTTCTTCTCATGACATTAAGTCAATTCCAAACCACAGCGACCCTATGGCACAGAGTAGAACTGCTTCTGTGGGTTTCCAAGACTGTAAATCATTGTGGGAGCAGAATGCATCATCTTTCTTCATGGATGGCTACAAGCTGCTGACTTTGCACGTAGTAGCCTAATTTGTAACCCATTACACCAACAGGGTTCCTAATTTAAGGCCACGGCCCACTTATAAAGAATCCTGGTGTCATAGTGATTACTCATTGGACACAATCTGCAAGATCTACTGTTCCAAACCACCACCCTGCTCTGTGGGGAAAGATGGGACTTTTTATTCCCAGAAACAATCGGTCTCGGAAACTCACAGGGGCAATTCTACTCTGTCCTGTGGG